ATAAAAGAAATTAAGTTTGAAGTACCAAAGTTTTGATTCATCAGGTTTCAAAGATATAGCAATTTTAACATTTGAGTTTGTGGCAAAATCCCATAATCCCAGGGAAGGTTTACGTTTGATCAGAACTCAAAAGTTTTACTCCAACCATTTTTTAAATTTTGATAATTTTAAAAAATAAAAATAAAAAAAAATCGGCGAAAATTTTTATAATAAACTACATAAGGGGTTCGAAGCGCCCGGTAAGCATTATAACTGCTTGAGCCTTTGCCACAAACTCTGATTTTCCTATCCCTATATCTTTCTAGCCCAATGTTGTAGACCTTAGACATTTCAAACTGTAAATTCTTTTTGATCAAATAATATAAATCTGAATTATTTAAGGTTTACGTCAAAAGGGTGCAAACATAAAGGGATAAGAAAAATTGAGCTTGTGGCAAATAATCAATTCCTTGTTGTTTTTATATTACTGCTGCTTTATCGGAAGTATTGTTACAGTATTCCTACCCGGCTGGAGTCCTTAGTATTGGAATTTTCAACTTTTCCATAAAATCGGTTTTTTAATATTGTATAAACTTAACTAGGGAAAATTAAATAATTATTAAAAGTTGTTTAAAATCAACGGAAAGTATGGAGAGAAGATTTATTATTCAGTCCTATATTAGTCCTATATTAGTCCTATATTAGTCCTATATTAGTCCTATCCCCTGCTGCGTAATGATTAAATCAAGTGTCCCTAATGTCCCAAGGGAGCATCAGGGTGATTACACAAGACACAAGTGGAACTCAACCATTTTCTTATCTTTCTTTCCTTTTTTGCCCTGAGCTGAGAACTTTTGTTGTGAATCCCGGGATCAAGCATTGATCGCATTGATCGTCATTTTATGCAGATTTCTCCGATATCTCATGATGTTCATACCCTACATACAGGACTAACATAAATTTAGAAATCAAGCATTGATCCTCATATTTAAAAATTGGATATCGAGATCAAGCGTTCAAGATTAAAAATATTCAAACAAAAGTTCCGACCTATGAGGACAGAACTTTTGTGTTCTGAATCTTGGAATCTTCATCTTTTTTTATCCATGTCTCAGTTTTTTTCTCGATTTTATTTTCTCTGACACTCCTTTTTGTTTTATATGTTTTCATATTTTTTTGTAACACCTGTTTTGTTTTGTTTTTATTTGAGCCTATTTTTTGTCTTTTTTTCTATTTTACATTTTGTTTGATGTGTGCGTTTTTTGTCTGTTTGATCAATTTTGTCCTATTTAATTTGTATGTTCTCGGTTATTTGATTAAGAAACACACAAATCAATTTTTTTAATGAACTGGTATGTTTAGTGTTTACAAAGGGTGGTTAGTCGTTCAAAACAATTGGTATCAAGTTCCTTCAGTAGTTTACAAACTTGAAATTATAAATAATTTTCAAATGAATCCCCAACTAGAGCGGGACATCGTTATCATTTTATGTTTCAAGGCTTTCAGGGGACTACACAAAAATCTAAGGAGCCAAACATATTTCATAATTGTCGTTTTTACACTAAATCGACCCAGGGACCGAATTAAATTAAATCAGTCTTGACCCGGTATTCAGTCTTGACCCGGCATTCAACCTGTTAGCAACCAGGTCTCTCCTCCCTGCCTAGTTTGGCCGCAAACCTGTGCTGGCCCCCAAATCAGCTAAAATGTTGGGAACGACCACTCTACCTGGTCAACCTGTTTCAACTTAACAAATACACATGGGTTCAATACAGCGGGTCCTGGCTCTATACCAGGAATTTGTGAAGGCCGGTGAATCTGTGGAGCTGAGGTTATGGTCTAGAGGAGGTAAAGAATGTTTTTCCTTCTCCCAAACCCTCGGTACCCTCCCCCAGTCTCTTTCCAGGATGCCGAACAGGAGGAGAAAAAGGAGGAAAAGGGTACTCTAACCCTGATTCTGAGCCTGAAGCTGAACCTGAAACTGAACCTCATCCTCACCCTGAACCTAAACCTAATCCTGTGCCTGTTCCCGAGCCTGAACGAAGACCTACAAAGGCGGAACTAGATTTAAGATTGAGGGAAGTTATGAAAATGTTGCAAATGTAATGCTATATCTTGTAATGTAATGTAAACCTGTTTTAATCTTTAAATGGATTAGCATAAAATAAATATTTAGATCTAAAAAAAAAAATTAAATAAATATGAGCTACGTACCTGAACTACCAACTGCCGCTTCAAATTTGAACCACCGATTCAAAATTAAAAATTCAGGAAGGATTAGAATTTTTAACCGGAGGTAGGTAGGCACGAGGCAGTTCAGCGAACCCCGCAAATTTATTAAATTGGGTTCAAGACAGAATACTTTGTATAGTTCGCTATACGAACAATTGATTTTGCTTTGTTTAGGCCTATATAACTTCTATCAGAGCTTATATTTCTATCAGAGCTTATATTACAAAAAAATTAAATTACAGAAGAATTCATAAATTTTTGTGAAGCTTTGAATATTTAAAAAAAGTCTACTAACAATGCCTTGAATATTTAAAAAAAACTACTCAATGCCTTGAATATTTAAAAAAAGACTACTCAATGCCTTGAACATTTTAAAAAGACTACAAACATTGCCTTGAATATTTAAAAAAAAGAATACTAACAATGCCTTTAATATTTATAAAAAGACTACTCAATGCCTTGAATATTTTAAAAAGAATACTAACAATGCCTTGAATATTCAAAAAAAAAGACTACTCAATGCCTTGATTATTTAAAAAAGACTACTCAATGCCTTAAATATTTAAAAAAAAACTACTCAATGCCTTGAATATTTAAAAAAGACTACTCAATGCCTTGATTATTTAAAAAGACTACTCAATGCCTTGATTATTTAAAAAGACTACTTAATGCCTTGATTATTTTAAAAAAACTACAGAATGCCTTGAATATTTTAAAAAGAATACTAACAATGCCTTGAATATTCAAAAAAAAAAGACTACTCAATGCCTTGATTATTTAAAAAAGACTACTCAATGCCTTAAATATTTAAAAAAAAAACTACTCAATGCCTTGAATATTTAAAGAAGACTACTCAATGCCTTGATTATTTAAAGAAGACTACTCAATGCCTTGATTATTTAAAAAAGACTACTTAATGCCTTGATTATTTAAAAAAAAATACAGAATGCCTTGAATATTTAAAAAAAGACTACTCAATGCCTTGAATATTTAAAAAAAACACTACCCAATGCCTTGAATATTTAAAAAAAAAGACTACTCAATGCCTTGATTATTTAAAAAAGTCTACCCAATGCCTTGAATATTTAAAAAAAAGACTACTCAATGCCTTGAATATTTAAAAAAGACTACTCAATGCCTTGATTATTTAAAAAAGACTACTCAATGCCTTGATTATTTAAAAAGGACTACTCAATGCCTTGATTATTTAAAAAAAAGACTACTCAATGCCTTGAATATTAAAAAAAGACTACTCAATGCCTTGAATATTTAAAAAAAAAGACTGCTCAATGCCTTGAATATTTAAAAAAAGACTACTCAATGCCTTGAATATTTAAAAAAGACTACTCAATGCCTTTATTATTTAAAAAAGGCTACTCAATGCCTTAATTATTTAAAAAAGACTACTCAATGCCTTTATTATTTAAAAAAGACTACTCAATGCCTTGATTATTTAAAAAAAGACTACTCAATGCCTTGATTATTTAAAAAAGAATACTAACAATGCCTTGAATATTTAAAAAAGACTACTCAATGCCTTGAATATTTTAAAAAGACTACTCAATGCCTTTATTATTTAAAAAAGACTAATCAATGCCTTGAATATTTAAAAAAAGACTACTCAACGCCTTGATTATTTAAAAAAAAGCCTACTCAATGCCTTGAATATTTAAAAAAAAGACGACTAACAATGCCCGACTCTACGAAATATTTTTATAAAATATTTCTCCTTTTAAAGATATTTATTAATCATGAGCTAAAAAGAGATTAAATAAAGAATTTAATAAAATGATTAATATAAATAAACCCCTTCCTGAAAATATCATAAATAATAATAAATTGTGAAGAAATGGTGGAAAATCTTGAAAAGCAAGATAAATCAAATTCCATTATTTCATTATGCTTCACTTTCATTTTACCACGCAACTCTTCTTATTCGTAAATTTCTACTTTAGTTTCATTACTTTCATTCTATATATATTTATATTCATTGTTTTAGTAAAACATGAGATGCGGAAACTTTTGGTTTGAAGCGATCAAGTTCTTAATCCTTGTAAACCAACAACTTTTTTAAGCTACTGATTGATCAAGTTCTTAATCCTTGAAAACCAACAACTTTTTTTAAGGTACTGATTGATTATGTTCTTAATCCTTGAAAACCAACAACTTTTTTTAAGCTACTGATTGATTGTGTTCTTAATCCTTGAAAACTAACAACTTTTTTAAGCTACTAATTGATTGCGTTCTTAATTCTTGAAAACCAACAACTTTTTTTCAGTTACTGATTGATTGTATCTTTAGAGACATCTGGAAGACATTAACTTATCCGATGATTGACTTTATAAACAAAATACGGATTAGGGTTTTTTTAGAAGGATAAACAAAAGAATAGAAAAGTTCTATGTTAAGACGGGTTTTTTGCTTTATTATTATTCTTTAAAAAATTAAATCTAATTCTTTCATTTTATGTTGTTATTCTTAAAATTCTCTTGTAATTCTCTAAATTAAATATTGTAGATTTACAGGTTTTAATCTTTTTAAAAATTTATATTTTATAGCGTAAATTCTATTCTAATACGTGACACAATAATTTCAGAAATAATTCTCAAAGTTTTATTCTTGAGACTTTTTCTTAATTCAGCCTAATTTCTATATTCTATATTTCATATTCGCTTCAAAGTTTCGTTTCTATAATTCTTAATCTTCAGGTTTCATAATTATACTTAAAGCTCTATTCTCTGTTCTAATTTTCGTCAACCCTCCCCCCACCCTTTTTGAAAACAAATAAAAAGAACATATTACTTGTATTTTTGATATTTCAAATTATAATAAAGAGATGAAAATTTGTAATAAACGGTCCAGGTTTCGAATCAACAAGTTCATAGTTTCTACGATTATATATAAGAAAAGCAATTAAACATTTATGATTTTTATACATAGATACGACACTGGTTTATATGTTCTAAAGGAGGGGGAGGGGGGGGGGGTGATACCTTACGATTTAAAGAAATTATAAAAAAGTAAAGCTCGACATTTGGTTCTTGAATTGTGAGATCAGGTTTCAAAATTTGAATTTTATTCCCTTTAAATTGTCTACTTTAAGTCTGAAGACATCACTTGAAGTTTCACTTTGTGAGCAAGCTCCTCTGTTGAATGTTAACTGCTGGTAGTAAACTATCAGATAAACTATTTAACTTCTTTACTGCACTGTTTAGTGTTTAGTATCTGCTAAAGAACAATTAACCTCGGTTTCAGGGCTGACAATATTTATATAACTGGGTGTCTCAGGAAACCTAGAACCGTGTGGTTCCTGGACACCCTGTCTGCTATACCTGAGTACAGTTTCTTATCTTAAAAGAACTATCTGAGACGACATCAAGGTTTCTACATGTATCTGCAGCTGTAGTGTGCTGGGTAACATCTAGGGTTAGAAGAGGGTTCGGTTTAATCTCTCTCCGACTAAAAGAATTAAAATTACATGTTTCTGAATCCCAATCCCTTGATGGATCTGAGTCTCCGTCTCCATCCTCTCTTGACTTCTTGAGGATAGATTTGATCGGACTCTGCTCCGATTCCGTCCTGCTCCGCTGGTACTTAGGAATAGGTTTAGAGTAAATAGGAGATTTAAACTGATCACTGTTGTGCTCGGAGTATGTGTCTACAAAGGTATTGAGGTTGTGGTTGTGAGGTTGGTTGTAGTTATGATTGTTAAAAGAACCTGTATTACAAGGAAACAGTTTATCAGCGGAGCAAAAACTTGGTTCAACTTCACTGTAAGGACTCAGGGTTTTGTCAGTAATGAACTGAGAAGGTTTTGTATCTCCGTGTATGTTAAGATCTATACTTGAGAATCTGACAAGATCATTATCCTTGAATCCTGGATCTAAAGGTTCTGGTTCATCTTCTCTTCTATTTAGTTTCCTGCTCACAACTAGGATTAACATAACAACAAGAAATGTAAAAACTACAACAGTTACAACTCCAACAACAGCATACATGATAATCTTGTTGGGTTCCTTGATCACCTGGAACGGATTGAACAAACCTTCTCTGAGCTGACCCTGCTCTCTCAATGATTGTCCTGAGTGTAGAAGTGGAGAATAGGGTTGAGGCATGTATGCTACAACAATATTAGATATTTCTCCTGTATTACCTTGATTATCTACCCCCAGTATACAGTAGTATAGGTTAATATTATAATCCTGAACTAGAATACGATGGGATTCATTTTCTCCACTAGGTTTAGAACCACTAAATCCCTGAACAAGATGAAGCTCAGATCCAGGTTGAGAATATTTATAAAAACTGTTTGGATCCTGAGTATAGAAGAGTTTATAAGAAGTAGGTTTACCATCATCATAATTATCTCCAGGAGCTGTCCATTTAAACTCAAATTCTCCTTGAGATGATAAAACCTGAACAGTTAGATCTAATATTCTTGACGGAGGAGAAATATCCACAGTACTTCTCTGTACACTTGATATATGAAATATATACCCGGAGAATATTCTTGAGAACTCACCGAGTTCCTCTTGACCTGAACCTGACTCCAGGTAGGCTGGAGAACTAGGAGTACTGGATACATGGACGGATACAGTGTATCTACCCTCCTCCTGTATACTTGTAAGATACCTGGAGTAAACTCCGTCTCCTGGATAAATATCAGGATCCCCTGAACCTGGATCTACAAGAATTATATTGGTTGGAGGTATGGATAATCCAGCTCTGTTTATTCCTTCAATCTTTGCTTCAATCCTAGCATTATGAACAGGTTTCTGGTTGTACCGTAGTTCTGTGTATAGTATAACAGGAGTATCTGGTGTTACACTAGCATTAAACTTATCCTTGTTACTAGATATCTTTATATCTAGTTTATCATGGTTTGAAGATGAACTAGATGTAACTTGTATCACATGACTACATTGTAGTATAGGAGATGGTATTCTCACTAAACTATAATTCCATCTCATACCAATATTCTCAGGTATATCCCAGGGTACATTATATATAGTATAATAATGTAAACCAGCTGTGGTATCCATTAATGTTGAATATCTTGTTCTTCTTGTATCAGATAAACTCAAGGATTTAATATAACTTTCAGTTATTTCTGGGAAATATACATTAAACTGTGTATTTACACCTACACTTTTATCAATAATAAAACTATCCTTTTCTTCTCTTTCCATATCCATGCTTCCTTCAAATCTTCGCTCATATATCTGAAAAATATAAATATAAGAATATATAAATATATAAATGAAATATATTAAATAACTCACCAGTTGACTTGAGTAGGGTAGAACTGATGATAATATCTCTCTAAGAGAATCTACTAGGTTCATATAAACAGATAGAGAAGGTTTATCTTCTTGAGATTGAGTTGAAACCAGATAACTCTGTGCTCCAGTAGTATAAGATAATCTCTCCAATGGTATTGAAAGCTCTGATACACTGGGTTGAGGAATAGAGATTGTAAATATCTGAAGTTGATGTTTTGATGAAACCTGATTTAATTCTATCTCATCCTGGATTGTAAAGGATGATGAATCTCCACGACTAATAATAATAATAACTCCTCCTCTTGATGTACCAGATATCTGTAAAGCTTCAATTCCCTTCATAACTCCACATTTTATACAACTTCCAGTTCTAGGTGATAGATTATGCTTGGTTCGTATTGAGAACGCTAAACCGTTCCTGGTTGAAGAGATTACTCTGGGTCCTAATCTACCTACAGGATGGGAGATATGAGCATCATCATTGAATAGAACAAGACCAAGTTCTGTATCTTCAGGTAGATCATGGAGTATAAACTTCTTACAAGCTGTTCTGATATAATCCCAGTAATCTTGATGGTTCATCTCAACTGAGTTCTCAAGGAGAATAATAAACTTAGGTTGTATTCTCTTCATAATGATTATCTGAGGTGTAGTAAAGTTAGGATAGGAGATAGGTTTAGGTTTAGAGAAATCTTCATGTTGGAGAATAATATCCTTGACAGTTTTACCCAGACATTGAGAATATTGTCTTGATACAAGATCTAGGTCGGAGTCAATATCTCCGAATACTCCGTATCTAAGACGGAACCAGAGATTTCCTAATCTCCGTCCTGTCTCTGTAGAGTTGAGGAGAAGGTAGGAGTAAGGTATGAATATATTATCTCCTGGTTCTCCGCAACCTTGTCTTTGTTGAGTATAGGGTTGGGAACCAACAGATCCAGGTGTAATCTTTGTACTGTACTGTACTGTACTGTACTGTACTGTACTGTACTGTACTGTACTGTACTGTACTGTACTGTACTGTACTGTATTTACTGTACTGAACGGTACTGTACTGTACTGTACTGTACTGTAATGGACTGTACTGTACTGTACTGTACTGTACTGTACTGTACTGTACTGTACTGTACTGTACTGTACTGTACTGTATTGTACTCTATACCTGAAGCTGGCTGGATTCTAGGATAGTTTGAGTACAATGATCTTGAGTCCATGTACTAGGTACATAAACCTGGAACTCTTCAAGTAGAACTCTTTTATTTAAACTCTGATAAACCTCTCTACTCATCAACCCTAACCCAGCCTGAAATGAAAGTTTAGATTAAACTAAAATATTTCGGAAACTAAAAACCAATGGCATCTAAAGTCAATATTATTTTTCATTCTGGAAAACAAAACTACATTTATTTCCTAAAGTTAGTTAGTTACCTTTTGCTTTGAATCCAAAATAAAAAGGAAAGAAAACAGAAAAGTTTTTGATTTGATTCTTCTTTCGTCGTAATTTAGTGAAATAACAATTCTAATATTTTTGTTTATTCAATTGCCCGGAATGGTAATGGGGGAAGTGGGAATGAAATTTTATTTGTTAAATTCATAACGTATATGTTTTGCCAAGAGTAAATGTAGGCATGAAGTTGTATCTATATATTAGAAATTAATTAAACCTATATAGTATTCCAAGCATCCATCATATATTAATCAAATATAATTATAATCAATCTAGAAAATATATCCACTAATTGATAGAATCCACGAAAACTAATTTATATTATTAAAAGCAGAGTTTAAAAAAATAATAAATTGTTTGTTTAAATATGTACTAGACTTTAAGGACATTTTACGTCGCTATTTATACCTATTTCGAGGATTTTAATTTTTGATTTTAAAGATTTTCGATGAACATATATTTTGGGGTAAATTTCAATGTCGGTTTTAATGCTTTTTGGTACAAACAAACCAACAGATAGAAAACACAAAGGAATTGAGGCCTTGCCGCAAACTCAAATTTTCTAATCTCTATATCTTTGCAACCCGATTGTGCAAACCTGTGAGTTAATTTAATCTAACAAAATTCATAGATTGAAATACCTAAAAACGGTCTACGACATTGGCTTCCAAAGCTATAGAGTTTGTGGCAAAGACTCAATTCATTTATATGTAAATGTTAGCATAACTCATTCTTTCAAGAACTTTTTAAATTATCGGAAAAAGGTACGCCGTTCTAACAGCGTTTATCGAAGAACGTGAATATTAAACTGTAAAGACGAACTATAAAGCTCTAGAAATATGATGATTCCAAGGTTGAATTAAGTTTTCTGCCTTAATTATAGTCTTGTTAGGCTAACTAAATGATTTGGCAAAGAAAAAAACAAATTTACAATAAAAGTGAATCTTGAATATCAGGAAACAGACAGTACAAATTCTGTACAATCGTCTCTGAAGTCTCAGCCTTTGTGGGTAACCCTGTATATAGTTGAAAGTCAATAGAAGAACAGTGTATACATTATACAAACAAGAATTGTTTACATTTACATTTATTGCTTCATAATACATATTGACAATAATGTAAATGTTTTGTGTTTAAACACTTGATTATATTTTTACATATGTAATCCAGCCTGTAATATCAAATCTAAAAATTTATGTCCGCATGAGTGTTTATTTTTATGCTCTTAATTTTACTCAAGTTGTTAAACGTCTGTCGTCTAAAGGAATTGAGTCTTTGTCACAAACTTTGATTTTCTAATAACTATATTTATTCCACCTGATGGTATAAACCTTTCATACTTTAAACATAGATTTGTTCATCTAAAATAATTCATAGTTTGAAATATCTAAGGTCTTCGGCATGGGGTTGCAAAGATATAGAGATTAGAAAATCATTGTTTGTGACAAAGACTTAATTGTTTTCGAGAAAGGAATTGAGTGTTTGCCAGTAAGTAGATAAAAAAAATGTCTCATGTACCACGGAAATTTTGTAGATAGCAAAAAAAATCACTTCTTGGAAATATTTTCAATTGTAGAAGAAATCTTTTACACATTTATCTGTTGTATTGTTTGATGAACCCCCCTGTATATAAATGTGTGATTATATCGGATAAGTTTATTTACAAATATCCCTCTAGCATCCTTTACTGTAGATTATTATCTAATATACAAGGATTTATTTTCTATTAAACGAATCAGCTTTTTATAATTTATTCACCTTCTTTACAAATATTTTTCGAGAAAAACAAAATAAAGTTTTCCAGAGGTTAAAGTTGAAGCAAAGGGAATAGAAACAATAAAACTTAAATATGTAAAGATTTGTTCCTTACGCTTTGCGTCTTGTCTTTTAGGATTTATATAATGTACAGTGACACAGATTATTTAAGAATTGTGTTATTAGCGAATACTATAACTGCTTAAATCAAAGGAAATGAACACTTTTGTAGCTCTAGACATGTAAATTTTAGAATTTAAAGCACCTGTTTTTAATTTAACTTTTAAAGAAGTAATTGTCAAAGTGCTCATAGATTTATGCAAGAGAGCTTGCAATGGATCAATGAGACCTATGTTCTGTAAACTTTCAGATCTGGCAGATTTCACGACTTCAGGTTGATATAAATATTCCATCGTTAGAGCTTGAGGAAATTTTTCAATTCCTATTTATGAAAGAAATCATCACGACAAATTTCTTTTTTAAAGAATAATTGACACTGTAGTCTTTGTATTGCATAGCTGAGAAGAAATAATTTAAATCAAATTTTCTGTTATGTTTTTTTATTCAGTGCAGAACAAACTGGTTCAGTTATGTTTGAGATTTTCGAAACTAGAAGAATAATTTTTAAGAGTAACTCTGGTCTTATTTTTAAGTAACTTTCAATATAAACCTAGAGTGCCATGTCCGATTCACAATTTGTATGATATTTCATGCTCTTTAAATTAAATAATTTAAATTGTGTATCTCTATATTTAGAAAAAACAAAATAAATGGAGGAAATTATGTAAATAAAGATAATTTCATCCAGGTCATTGATCAGATATAGGTATAAAAAGCACCGTTCATTGTGAATCTGACGTTTGCCTCATTTGAAATTACAATAAAGATCCCCTTAACCTTAAACAGGCTGGGGGGGGGGGCATTTGGCGCCCCCCCCCATCCTGTCGTTTTTTTGTCCTAGCACTCTTATTTTTGACACCATCACCGTGATTTTTTTTGTCTTTTAATGAATAGTAATTTAAAGGATTTTTTGTTAATTTTTTTAATTTATAGTGTAGGGTACAGGGTGGAAAAAGTCCGGTCTGTGTTAAAAAAATCTAAAATAGCCCATAACGTTTTGTGAATAAAGCTACAGATCTAAAATCTATAGTTTTGAAAAGCCCTTCAAAAATGCATGTAGAAACAGGTGTCACACTTTGATATTTGTTTAAAACAAAAACAAAAATTTCCATTTTTTTACCCTTTTTATGATTTTTTTTTTCAACCCCCCACCCTTTATATGGTTAATAATACTATCCTAAAATTGATCTCAATTCATTCTGTTTTAAATTTCAAAATTAATTTTTGACTGGTAAAACATTTATTATAAGATTTATCATTTTTAAGATTACATCGAAAAAGATTGCAATTAATTACCTGTATATTGGCTAGAATTGTGTCACACTCTGAAGGATTAAAATGGTCTGATAATTGAACTATTATATTTTTAAATCTTCCCGTCGTAGGATCAAATTTGATACTTTGTGCTGTATTCACAATTAGCAAAAATGATATGAATTGTCTCCACATTGTTTTTTTTATAATTTAATCTCTTTACACACTAGAACCAATCCCCAACATCTTTCATCTTCTCTTGGACATCCACATTCAACTGTCCGTGAGTTACTGAGAGAATTACCGGTGAATCAGGTCACGTGACCGCAGTCTCCGGGCCTGGGTCGAGATTGCGAGATTTTATGACTTTTTTTTTCGCGGATTTTCTTGACGGAGAGGAATCAAATCTCTGTTTGATCAAAGAATTTGGTAATTATAAAGACGAGGCGTTGGAAATTTATCCAACTATTGTGTTCATTGTGTACGCCTGTACATCTGTATTTTGACGTCATTGGTTATTTTGGTTGTTTGAGAGTCTAACGATCGACATTTAAACCCTGGTTATTTGACACAATTGTAAATGTTTTGTGCTAAAAATTTTCAAAAATTAATGATATTAATTTGTATTTTAAAATGTATTTTATCATTTGTTGAATATGAGGATCGTCAGGTGAATTATACATAGCTGAATTTGTGATAAATTTACCCAACCCATCTCTTTTGTATCAATAATAGCCAATGATTGTTAGTGAAAATTTCCATATGTCGTCAAATATTTTTTCTGAGGTTCTATGGAATAGGATTTTAGACGATGAAGAAGAGAGGGGACCATAAATTTCCAATTTTATATACGGTAAATCAATTTTGTGTAAATGTCGTCTTCTGTTTAATCTCAGGCAAAGAAATAATATCGCGTAAATTAAAGTATTAATCTTACTCTTCAACTGATTTAAGGGGGATTATGTTTAAAAAATATCCACCATTAAAGAAAAAAATATCACAGAAAGTTTCAATAAAAAATCCGAATTAAAGGACGACTTTATATATTGAAGTCTTTTAAAGTTGATTACAAAAGGTTTGAAGCAGGAATTATTGTAGGATTTTGAAAGGCGGATTAAAGAAATACATTGGTGAAAATAAAACTGGGGAATATGAAGACGACTTTTAGACTCAATTTTTGATTAAATAGTTCAATGGACATAAAATACCACAATTGGGCAATGAAAATGCAGATTGTCTAAATTTCGTCTTCAAATTCAGGAGTTTTATGTTTAGAAATTCAATGAATAATTCTGATAAATTCATGTTTGTCAGTGCCACTGCCAAGCAAAGTAACATGTTTGATACTTAACTGCCAAGCCAACCAAGAGTAGGAGAGTCTGCGTTTACAATACCAGCAGATCCAAAAATAAAAGAATGTGCATGAAGGCTCTTTACTTGGATCATATGAATTCCTTACGCTGAAAGATCCCAGAGTGTGTAAAAACTATTACATTGTTAAATAAAAATATTATGACGTTATATTTTTCAATAATTCATTTAAAACAGGTAGAGAGAGAATTCAATCTTGAATGAAAAAGTAATGAAATAATTGATTACTGTTAAAAAGTACAAACTTGCATAAAAGATATGAGAAATTGATTTTCTTCTTATAAACACTTCATACACTTCAAACCAAAACTAAATGTTCTAAGGGACTGATAGATGTACTTTTGAGTTGCCAACCC